CCGTCTTCGACGCTTCTCAGCAGTTTCCTAAAGGGTTCTACACTAACAGCCAGTCCCTTCTGGAATTCATCCCGTGTCCCCTCGTCTCCCAAACGCTCTACTTTCCACCGGAACGCTTTCCTGTGTTTCTTACTCTAGATCTTTCTGGATCGGTCGATGTTTGCCCATATGAGGAAGTGGTCGGTCGAACCTATATCTATCGCACTTACGTGCAGCTCTGGGATCTGCGTGCTCCCCCTATCTACCAGGATGTAGTCGAGGATTGAGTATTCATTGCAAACTGCCCGTTGCCTGGTGAACTCCGGCTTATTGTATTCCCTCATACCGTTCNCACCCCGCTCCCCAGGTATCTTAAGCCATAGGCTTTCCTCGAACTCCGTTTTCACCACTACTTCCACCACGTCAAACAAGTGTTCCTTGACCAGGAATCCGACTCCCCCCTCCCCCCTTTTGTTCGGGTCTAAGCCTTTTCTTGCCTTCCCTACCCACCGGTATTTCCCTAGTTTACTAACCACGTCCCCATCCTTCAATTCCCACGTCTCTTGGATCCCAACTACATCTAGATCGCTTTGTTCTATACGGGGGGGGGGGTAACCGGTAGGTGAAGTTTGGAGTCGACAGGCCTCTTACCACAGCTCTCACACCAGCACAGCAAGTAGTTGATACGTGTGGTGTTTGCACTCTGTTTCCGCCAGTGGACGCACACGTCTGACGACAGTTACATCTACGACAGCTATCCTATCTTTTTTTACTTTTTCTGCGTATCGGTTTCCGAGGGCTCTTTTCTCGACCGGACGGTGCGGTAGCTGTTCTTCTTCTTTCGATCATTTTGTTTTCCTATTCCGAGTGGTTTGTACGCTATTTTTATTTTTGTTTCCCCGCGGCGTCGTATGTGCCGGGTTTTGAGACCCCGGGCTCCCCGTTTTTGTGGACAATAGACTACTGTGAGAAACAACAAACACAAAACACCAGCAGAAAAACGCCGTCGGATAAAAAAAACTACGGATGTGTGCGTAGTCGCGTGTCTTCTCGACTTGTGTGTACACACAGCAGTAGCGATTGGTGCTTCTTGCGATGTTCATGCCAGGGGGCGTGGTAATCGAGAGTATATCAGCCCCCCCGGTTGTTGGCTGTTCCTTAAGGTGGCGTGTATCGTGGCAGAGTTGGCGCGTTGGTGTGTAGGGTCGGAGCGAGCAGCCGGCCTCACGCACGTGAACGAGAGATTTTTTTAACGTTGTTGGCCAAGGGAAAAGCTCCCCACCGCAACAAGGGTGTACGCGACCGGCACAGCAGAGCAGCACTGCCGTGTTACATACGAGACAACATACACACCTCCTGTTCACCAACCGATGACACGCGCTGCAAAGTCTCCTCCTGAGCGCGGGAGGGGGCGGCTGCACCAACATCGCCGCCGGAAGCGGCACTTCCGTTGAGGGTTTCCTGCGAACCAGCGAGAGCGAGAGAGCGACAGGTAGAGCGAGAGAAGAGAGAGATAGAGACAGAGAGAAACAAGGGAGGAGCCATGCAGGCAGTCGCGCACGTGACACACATGAGGGTTTGCACTCAGCAGCAGTTCATCGCGGATGCAGTCTCTCGTGTGTGGAGCCAGGCGAGAGAAGAGGTGCGACAGAGAGATGGCAAGAGAGGGACGTTCGCGGATGTACAGCAGTATCATATCGCGACCACAACGAGGGACCTCAGTCACCACCAGCACACACGTGAGGCTGATCGGTACGGAGTCAATAATACCCCTTCGGTCCAAGTGTGCACACGCGGCCCTTCACAACCCTGTGAGAATCTCGTTTTCCGTCAGAGAGTTATCCTACGCACGCACTCGCGTGCACCTTACGGAGGTGGTCCTCTGCATCGTGTCCCTGTCTCACCCCTCGCCCCATTTTCTAGAAGAAAAAAAAAGAGGCCGGGGTTGCGATAGTTGATCCCCCGACGACGATCTCCTCTGCCGGCGGGAAGCTGTCTGCTGCAAGTACAAAAGCACCAATCAATGACCACGCACGACCCACGTGACACACAGAAAAAGGGTTGAGCGCATTCGCCCCAAAATCGCTGCATGGCTAACTTTGTGCAACGAGGGTGAGGCCAAATCTCTGGCCGGGCAGAGTAATTTTGTAAACGGTGGGAGCAAGATCCCTCATCCGCGGAGAGTTTGAACGTATGTACGCCATCATCAGCGGGTAAACTCACCATAAGGGGCTCTTCATTGTGTTCCATGTCTCCTTCTGTGTCTTCGGTGACGTTCCTCTCTGTAGCTCCTGCCCCTGGGTTTGGAAGCGTTGGTATGGATTGCAGGTACGGAGAATAAGCCTGTCGTCAAAGAGGTGTCACGTCTGCAACCGGCGGGGGGGTCGCCAGATGGAAATGAAGGAGGTGGGTATTGGGGAACCGTGGAATGTGAAGATGCGAATTGAGGAGCGCCCGCAGCCGTGCGAGCGAGGAAAACGAAAAGTACGACGCAGGCACGATGAACGAGGAAGATGACTCGAAGCAGGGCATCAGCCGGGAGGGACCGTTGCGGAGCATTGCCAGTCCTCCTTTCGCAGGGTGAGAAAGATCGCGCAGATAATTTGCAGGTCGGTTGCAGCGCAGCGCAGAACACAGCAACCCCCTTGCGGAACGTTTCTCTCTTTCTCTTGCTCACTCCCCCCCCCTAGCCCTTGCCGACATCATGCATGATTGAATCTGCTCTGTTCGCCGTAAGTGCCCGAGTGAACACCACAAGCTCCGTGCAACCGCTGCTGATGGTGTCATCCGAATCCCTTCCTCCACGCTGTCCGCGGCAGGCCTGTTGCGCATGTCAACTCTGGGCCACTAGCGCACAACCATGCCGACAACAGCGCCGCTCTGTCCTCGCATCCTGGAGCCCCACCGCCCGCCGCCACAGCAGCATCGGCAGCATCGCACCCCCTGGACTACGACTCGCAAGTGCACCTGCCGCAGCAACAACAGCAGCGGTTGCCACTGCAATCGCCACCGCGCGGCCCGTTGTCTGGCGGAATTCCCCTGCCCGTCGCGCCGACTGCGGCACCGATTTCTTCGAGCAGTACAAGCAGCAATAACCCCCTGTCTCACTTGCTCCTTCGTCCAAACGGCATGAGGATGGAGAGGGACGCGCCCCCCGCCTCCTCCGTCCTTCCTCCTCCTCCTCCTGCTACAGAACCCGCGACAGCAAAGTTCGATTTCAGCGGGAACCCGCCGCCGGCTGGCGCTCAGACGATGCCACCGCCTGCAACCGCCGGGCCGGAGGTGAGGTGGGAGGGTTGCACCGCGTCCCAACTCGGGGAAAAAGTAAGGCCCCCCTTGCGAAAAGTATCGATTCGGTTGTCTTGCATCGAACACGTGCAGTAGTAAAGCGTAGATACGAAGTACGTGGTATTGTCGATGTTGGTGAAAGCGTTTCGTGCTTTGTTTCCGCGATTAGGCGACTTCCGCAGTCGAACACGTCGTTTACGATGACGCGTGAAATGCGCGTTGTCTGCTGAAATGTCTATAACAGCGACGTCGCCGCTGTTGTGCGATGAGCCCCCGCGGGAAACCATTATCGAGCGTGACGCGTGCGGCGCTGCGTGTGTGCGCCTGCTGCGATCGTGCGTCCCTGGGCAGGTGTCGGATTCTCCGAAAGCTCCGCCGATGCCAGCACTGCCACCGCCTCCGCCAACGACCCAAGACGGTGAGAATCAAAGCCGTGGAACGTGCGCGGGGGGCAGAAAATGTTTTACCCCCCCCCTTGTGGAAGCCACCACCCTCCGTTGCCCGTTTGTGCTCGTACCCCTTCTCTGCGGGCGACACGTGGTACTCACCATCTACAGCTACAGTTGTAGTTCTGTACAATGCCCACGGAGTCGCGCGGCTTCGGAGAGGAACTAGGTTGGGGGTGTGACCCTTTCGCCGATGTCCCAGGCTCCACACGCACCTATATTGGACGACAAATCAGATTAGAGTCGGGTTTCATCTTGCGGCTCAGTCACCGCTAAATGGGGATGAGACATGCCAATGTTAACTATGTTGTGTTTGCTACTGATCCATGAAGCACGACCAACCGCCCCGGGGAATGAGTACCGGAGTTTCTTTCTGACATCCCGCTCGGTAGCTCCGGCCCTTTTACTTATTCCACGCCTTCGCCTTTGCTAGGGAAATGGAGCAGTTTTCCAGCACTCAACAATCAGTACGCCGGTGGCTAAGTATATACACACAGCAGTGTGGGCGAAATGATGCATGCAGAAATGCGGGTAGGCAGAGGTGCTTCCTCAAAATCGTGAGATGCTGTTGATTAGCTGGTGTCATCCAAAGGGGTGGTGCTTCAGGGGTACCAGTGTAGATGAGGTTAGCGTAGATGCTCGTCGAACGTGGGAATCCTACATGGTACAACTATACCATGTACAAGACGCACATGAAACTAGGCCACTTGAGTAGTTACCGCCAAAGGCTGAGGTAGTAATTTGACAGGGCTTCCCCCTCAGAGGTTTTCCTCAGATTACCTCTGCGTTTTCTGCGGTGCTTTGCGGAGGTGGGGTTGCGCCGTTGGCGCCTCCTCCCCTCGCCCCCCTTTCGCTATTTTCCTAAACGTGTCGGCGCGCTGCCTGCAAAACAAAACAGGTCCGAAGTACTACCAACCGCCGCCACCACCTCCCGAGCAGCAGCGATCTCAACCGGCTCCATCGCCAGCGACGTTGAGCGGTGTGGCTCTCCCGTGCATTCCGCCCCCACAGCTGCCGCAGCAACACCATCACCACAAGCAGCAGCAGCAGGAGCAGCAGCAGCGGGCAGCGTCGCCCATACCAGTGGCGGCGGCGTACCCGCCCCGACAACCCCCTCAGGAGAAGACCCTCGACGCCCTCGTCTTGGAGTTCCTGTCGACGGAGGCGCCGCCCCCCCCGGAACCCGTCAACGAGACCTTGGCCCTCGGCGACCCTGACGGGTGGGTGGCGGCACTTGGGCAGCTCGCCTGGCGGAGAGCATGGCGGAAGCTGGTCGAGATCGCGGGGACCATGCTCGTGGCGCACAGGGGGGGGGGGGCGCCGGGCCTGACCGCGGACCAGGTACATACATGCGCTTCGACGGAGAGATGGTCACGTAGTAGGGGTTTACAGAGAGCAGCAGTATGATGACCTTGACCTTGAGTTGCAAAAGGGCACTCCGGCTTGACGGAGGTCCCCTTGAAACGACGCTGTGTGCATTTGATGTGGCTTGCGTCTTTCGTTTTGAGGACGTAATCTTGTTGGCAGAATGAGCTTGTGCGCGATTGCACGCTCGTGATCTCTTCGGGGCGAAAGAGGAAATCGTTGAATTTCCGTAGGAAGTGTGAACAGCGGGTGATCGGTTGCCCTAACGTTTCGTCCAGGAACAAGGCTGGTGGTGTTGGCACACGTACCTGGGACATGAATGTTGGTTCTCGCCAAGGACTGAAAGGAGAGACAGGTTTCACTTGTATGTCGAAGCGCCTGCCTTTTCGTGTTTCGCGGATTTCACGTAGAACCTGCTTGGAGGACGATGAAGAACAATGAACTAGAACGCGGTTTGGTTTCTCTTCGTTCGATCCGCCAAACGCACGTGGCTAACCGAAACAGGCGATGGATTTGCGGCTCCGACGCGCCATGGGGATGTTGAAGCTCGGGAGGGCGGCGGAGGCGGCGGAGGCGGCCGTGGAAGCAGGCCAGGAGGCTGGTCAGCCGCCGCTGGCCGCCGTGACCGTCGCCGCCCGTGTCGCCGCCGCGGGAGCAAAGTCTGTCTGCGAGGGGGAGGCGGAGGAGGAGGCGCTGGACGAGCTGACCGTGCTCAAGGTACAAGAATATTTATTCGAGCCTTTGTTCTTTTTTCTTGAGGCATACGCAATCTTTGAAGCGTGTATATCTGTGTACAACAAAAGAGAGTTGTGTGTCAACATTGACCGAGAGGCTGCCAACACGTAACAGGGTGAGTATTTTCTGGCACGTCCTGACTGGCTTCCATTGACATCTAACCCCCCCCGTCCTCCCGTGTGTTGCAATTGCGTTGGCATCTGATGTTGGAACTAGTTTGAGCTAGAAGGTGTCATCGCCGCTGGTGATGGTCCGAGTGCTTTAGCCCCATCGCCTTCTGAAGACGGGATGGAAGCAACAACAGCAGCAGCAGCAGCAGCAGCAGCAGCAGCAGCAGCAACAACAACAACGGTAACGGTGGCGGAGGCGACCACGTGGCGGCGACGCGTGATGCTCAACCTCGTCAACATGTTCGTGGCGCGCGGAAACTGGCGAATGGCTCTGGGGCTCCTGGAAGACCTGGGGGAAGACCAGTGCGGCGAACGCAGCACCCCCGCCTGCTCTTCTTCCTCGCACGAAGACGTAACAGGAGCAGCAAGAGAGGAGGGCGCAAGGGCGCCGGTTGACGATCTTAGGGTGGAGCTTCTCTCTCGCATCGGCAGGGTGTTCTTACAGTTTGGCTCGCTGGAGGACGCGGAGGTTTATTTCCGTCGCGCGGAGGCCGCGGCAGCGGCGGTGGGGAGCAATCCCAGAGTGAGCTAGACCGATTCGGTTGTTTTGTACCAGAGGTCATTGTCGTTGCTGTTGCCGTGTTGGCATTGGTCGGTTCGGGTGTAGTTTTCCTTGGTGTTGGTTATTTAGGCGCACCATGTGCGATCCCTGGTGCTCGTTTCGATGCGATCTTTGTCCAGCGCTACGGCAGGAAACGCCTCATACCGAAAAGAGAGCGCTGTCTTCTTCTGCGTTTTTTGGTGAGGGTGCGAAGGAACGCAAATGCAGCGTCGCGTGAGTGGATTGCAGCGTGAGAGGATTGGTCAAGGTTAGAAGGCCAGATGCATTCCCGGGCTTCCGACGCACTGAAGGTGAAATTCCCACAGTTAGCAGGCGCGCAAGACGAAGGTCTGCCCTGTGGACAACCTACTGCGCTCGCACACAAGACGATTTGTCTGTTGACCGACCTTGAAACTACAAGCGTTCGTATGCATACGCGTTCCAGCTAATCAATTTGGTTTCGGGTCCCTTTCGAGGTGCCTTCGACAGCAGTGATGACGCGGGTAGTGTGAGGTTTGATTCGAACACGTGTCTTTCGTCCTGTTTAGCTTCACTGCCTTGTATTTCACCACTGCCGTAGTGCCACTTTTCGACAGTTAGTTGTGTGCAGAGAGACCGTGGGTCGTGACGGGGCGTGTCGACATTCTCCAGGCGGTGTTTCTCGCATAGGCAACATCAGACAGACAGAACCTCTCCCGGCCGGGCTGTAACCGCTTCGCCTCCCCACGCGCACGGTTCGTCGGCCAGATACTTGTGAATCGCGGCTTGCTGAACTTCTCGAGGAACGAGTTCGTGGCGGCGCAAGAAAATTTCCGAAACGCGGCCACAGAAGCTGCGATGTTAGCGGCCAAGGAGGAGCCGCCAGACGACAGTGACGGTGAGCGAGACTTTCTCGCGTGGTACAGGATTTGTGTTTTATTTTTTGCGCTAGGGGTGGATTTCGAACGGCTCATCAGTCTGTTTGCGAGCTGTTCTGCGCAAGGGGTGAATTCCGAAGGACTTGCAGTCTGTTTTTGTTATACATGCCCTTGAGCGCGTAGCGTTAACGTGGGTTTCGTATTGCGTTGCGTAGTTCTTTTATGTTCTGGAGCCGTCCACTTCGGCGGAGACCTGTGGGCCGGTGCCTGAGGGGAATGGCGAAACCTGTCGCCCGACGGGGGCCGTCCGTGCCCCTTGGCCCCGCTCCCAAAACACCACGTTGGCCCAACCGACGTGTCAAGAGTTTGATGTTTTTCCCCCCTGCGTTCATTACTCCAGAATATCTGAGCGTGTGTGCTGTGTCGATGCCGATGCCGTTGAGCTTTCAGGGACTCCGATGTCAAGCTTGAGTGAAATATTCGGTTCCTTTGTTTTTGGTTGGGTGCGTTGCCTGTTTTGTCCGCCATCCAACTTGATGAAGAGAGTCATTGCTCTTCGCAGATATCGTACATACGAAGATGCTTTCTTGACACCTGCTTCCCGTGCCCTCGCCAAACTCTTCGCTGTCCCCCCACCACGTCGCCTCACTTTTTGTGACTTCCTTGTCATCGAAAACCTTGTCATCGATAGCCGTTTTTTCTTGTCGGCCGCCCCCCTCCATGCTTCTTGCTGCGGTGGCAGATAACTGGCTCTGGGCGACCCTAGATCAGGGCGCGGGGCTCCTCGACACTGCCCTTAACAACCTCAGCCTGGCGATGGTGTACTCGTGCGACGTCCTGCGCGGGGTGAGGACCCTAGAGGGGCTGATAAGGAAGGACCCCCGGTTGTACATGCTGGACGTGGTGATCTTCAACCTCTGCACGCTGTACGACCTGTCCTTCGACGCCGTTGCCAGCGCCAAGAAGAAGCGGACGCTGCAGGCGGTCGCCCAGCGGTTTCGGCTCGAAGACATCGACCCCTCCTCCTTCCGCATGAGCTGAAACGGAGAACCGGTCTCTCTTTTTGTGTGTGTGTGTTTTTTTTTTGCGCTCTCTGCGCGCTAGGATATCACATGTATGAAGCTGAAAAATATGACGTAATTTCGTTGGGGTCCGTGATCGTGTTGTACCATGCGCGAAGTCTGTCGCCTGTTGCTCGCGTTTTGTCGCTATGGCCATTGAAAAAACTGCACCTTTCTTGACTTCGATGCTTTGCCAAGCAAGCAATCACGCGGGTACGGTAGGTAGGTGCGGCCAAAGCATCCCTTCGGATACTTGACAACGAGTTGCGCAGAACTCATTCTGGTATGCTGCAGGTATTTGGTCGTGAGTGCTCCCTCACCAGGTCAGGGAACAGTGCCCGCCGTAATTTGCTTCACTTTAGCAGCGGCGAACGCGTCGGAAAAGACTCATTTGCTGCGGCCATTCGAAAGATGGGGCGTGGGTGGTGGGGTGGCGATGTGATCCCGCTGCAATTGCAACAGACATGCGACAGCGGCGGCGTGGCCGACCTACTTTTTCCTCTGCCGCAAGAATGTTCTATTCCCCCAGGGGTACGGAAAGAAGAGGTGCACCGTCCTTCCTACAAGGTGTGCGGGCACCGTTTACCACCCAACAGCGACCTACTGTAGGCCTACCCCAAGCACCAGCCCTGCACATACATACACCAGTCGCCCCGGTGGTCTAGTGGACAACCTCGCAGCCTGCTGAGGGCCAGGTCATGGGTTCGAGTCCCGGCAGAGTGAGTTTTTTTTCTCACTAATTATATCCTGGTCTAGGATGAAAGCGACGCGCTGCAGAGCTCGTTGTTAGTAAACCACCGATCGACTTCGTGAGTCGCGAGGGAAGGGATGAGCTGGAAGGGATTGCTGTACCCTTCTCGCGATAAAAATACCTCAGGCAGGAACCGCAGGAGGGGGTCCAGCCCCTACCTCCTATGTGACCCCGGTTGGGTCGTCTAGCTAGTAGAAGTGGAGGATAGGGGCCAGAGGGGCAGACGACAGAGTCCAATGACGGGAGAAAAAAAAAAAACTTCCACCTATGTCACGTACCATTCTACAGCAGAAGCACCTATCCACGCAAGACTAAGCCAGGTTTATCTCAAGAAGGCCAACCTTAGAGCACTTTGACTATGCCGGTATCAACCTATTTTTGTACCACTTACCGGCCGCCATACACGACACAATCGCGAGAACGCGACTATGCCAAGACTCAGCGAAGCAAGGTCTTTCAGACAGGAAAGACGAGAGATCTCACGCAGAAAGAACGGCCTGCTACATGTAGATCATTACCCGTTTCTGCTGCACGCACACGCCTTCGCTCACCTGGTGCCTGTGAAAACAGCAGTTTCCAAGAGATAGTGGGAAAGAAGGTGGTACGATGTGGGGTATCGGTTAAGTGGTGGGATGACGAGCTGAAAGAAGTTGAGGAACGTAAAGAAGTCTTCAAGCAGTACCTGAGTGAGGCGTCTGAGGAGAGTTGGGAAAATTACAGGGCCAAGAGAAAGCAGGTGAAGGGACTAGTCAAAAAGTAGAAAAAGTGTATTTGGGACGAAGTAGTGCAGAAGGCCAACGGAGGCCTGGAAGGGAACGTCAAGCAGATGTGGGAAGGGATTAGTGGAATGGTAAAAAAAAACGCGCAAGGAGAGGATACA